ATATATATATATATATATATTTATATATGTTAGTATGGCTGCTTGAAGATGGATTGAAAATATGTCCACTAGATGGAAGCATTTGACCAAAACCTAAAAACTACAGAGTCCACTTCAATGACCCAACTAAAAGCAGACAGTTGAAATGACAGGAAGTACAAATGTTTCACATCAATTAAATGGATGTGATTGACATTGAACAACAGACGACCCCACCAGCACCCCTCCCTCTACCTCCCATACACCAATCAGACCATGTACCTTGGTGTCAGTCTGCCAATGAGCACAGACTCTAACCTAGGGTGGCCAGTCAGGGCTCTGCAGGTCCCACTCCTCACATGCTACTTCAGGAGTGTTGGAAAATACGCAGTCAGACTCTACTTCAGCAGGTTTTACGATTACTTTAATGCCCTTTTCTTCTACTTCTTGTGTATTTTGCCTCTTGTTGTGTCGGTAGTTCAGTTTTGTGTCGGAGTGCCTGTGAACTTTTTTCATAGTTTGGTCTGGCTGGACACTGTCAATGTTAGCACAGTTGTGTTTACAGTGGAAACAGAGACAGTCAGAAGTTTTAACACCTTTGTTAATAACAATAACTCTTATAAAGAGTCAATCAGTACACAAATTAAGGTTTTCTATTTTAAAAAAATAGAGAAGATATTTATAAATGTTACCAGGTCACAACAACCATCAACCATCAGTTTAGAGGCTACACTACACACAACAACCGCTTTTGACACTGTAAGTCCCATGTGAATAAATTATGTATCAATACATGTTATGATAATCAGCCCCTGATTGTTTATCTGTATTTAGAATAGTCTACTTTCTGTTACATAAACATTGGACTAGAGTTTGCCTAAACTTTTGTGAAACTTCTAGAGATTTCAATACCCTTTGAGAATTCGACCCAGTAAATTTTGGAACTTTCACCAACTCTCATATAAAGTCAGTGTCGTGTCAGTAGATAGCGACAGGACTTGGTCTGCTACAGCCCTTGGACTGCTATGGATTGCTACTTTGGATCACAACAACAGATTTAACAGCTACATTGGACTTATTTAATATGTTTTAGTTTGAATATTCCAACCCAGGAGTGACATCCAGATATTGGAACATTATGTCTTGTGTTTATACTTTGTGGTCAGTAATGCAGGACATCGCTGGGACACACTCATCATTCATCAATGTGTAGTTTGTATTTTTGTAATAAATAATTACTAGTGACATATGGTTTAATGTTGTATTAGGAAAATTAATCTTTCTCATATTGCTGAAGTTCACATATTGCTGAAGTTCACTGTTGAACAACTGTGCTGTCCTTGATGCACACAGATGTATCATTTTGACTGTTTTGACTCACTCTCCGAGGTCCCATGCTCATCCACGCAGAGCAACATGCCTCGGCCTTGAGTGCTGATTGATTGAGAGTGAGACTGCACGCACTGAACATGCTGAACAATGACTAATAATAGCTTGCTTACTTCAGCACTCTTTGGTACTCTCCTGCAGACTGCCTGTTGATTCTCTCTGTACAACCTGTACCGTGAAACTTCCAATAAATAATAACCAAAAGACAACTCTGGTTTCTCTGGACAAACTTTATTAACAGAAAATTGCCAAAACAATGGGTTTTCTGGATCACACACCAATTATTCTAAAATATTCTAGAACATTCCCCTACATTATTTGTGCTGTGTTAATGACTGTTTAGTGGTCTGTCACACCCATCACTTCGATGCCAACAATAAGTGACATAGTGGAGACATATGTGACCCCTCCAACTGATCCTACTTCATGACCAGCACACATTTTACATGCTGATTGCCTGGAATTTTGCAGAGAGATCCTTTGATTTGTTGTATTGATTTGTTGGCAGCATGAGTGTGTTCCGTCCTGCGAACATTCTCTGTGGTTTCTTCCAACAGCCCAAACACTGAACTGACCATAGGTGAATGTGATTGGTTGTTTTCTTTTTTTTTCATCAATAACTTAACCATCTGTAGTTATGCACAGCTGCTATCTCGGTTATACAAGCAAATAGGGCCCTCTAGTGTCTACTCGCTGCAATAAATCGAATACAATATCACGTTCACACAAATCCATGGTCAATTAAGAATATAATTATATATTTTATTTTATGGTCTGTATTATCATTTTACCACGGGGATACAACGTAATCTTGTATGTTTTTGGACTGTAGAAATCTAAAAACTTATTTTCTAAAACGTCTACAAAAAAGACAATGGATGATATCAAGAGACATAGTTTGAAATGTGTGGCTTTTTTAGTATACAATTAAGAACTTTTCAGCTTACCCTTAATCAGTACGCCATCCACATTTTCACCGCAGCACAGATGGAGTAGCACCCCCTCGCCTCGGCCTTGTCTGTCTTTGCTCTTGTACCAGTCAGGGGAAGCAGCATTCCACGCTGACTGTTCCTAATGTGGAGAAACAAAAACAAGAAACAAAAACAAAACAAAAAATGTCCTCCTAGGTTCTACTTGGCATCTCCATTGTCTACCTGTTGGCAAAGTTGCAGGTTGTATCATGGATTTCCATCATCTGCATCCATAAATGTCATCATCCTCATTTAGCCATAAATAACTTCCTATTTAGTATTCAACAAAAGAAAAAAAATTACAACCAGGTCCAGGTCAAAACAATGTGGGATATGTGATAACAGCAGGGTTAAAAGTAAATTAAACAAAATAATTATAAATTGCATCTCCATTTTTATTAACTGCTTTTATTATGTCACTCTTTTCTGAATAACTTTTGCCTGAGCGATGCCACCATACATTAAATCCTGTAGAGCAAGTAGTGCGGAATAAAACAACAATTTCTCTATAATGGCCTCCGCAAGCTTCACATAGTCACAGAGAATTTCCAATACAATTCTTCTTCTTGGTCAAGGGCGTTTTTCTATGCATGGAGGTGTTGGTGGGACTACATATAGTGGACGGTGAACCTGTGATGGACACATGGCAACTACATTAATAACATTCAGTGACAGCCCCGATACCTGGTCACACCGGCGTCAAGGTTAATACCAGGTACTGCATTTGTCTCATCTTGGTTTGATCTGATATTTGTAGTGTGTACTACATACTAATGCTCGCAACACATCGGAAAAAGTAATCTGCATTGTAGTAGCTTTGTGGCATCTTCTTTTCTGTCAACGCAAACTTCACCTTGTCCTTGTTCCCCGTCACATCCACCGTCTTCAGCATCATTTTGTCTTTTTCATTCTCCACCTCTGTCTTGTCCATTGTGACCTCTGACCACTGAGTCAATTTCAACACATGTCAAGACAGAAGTTTGTTGATCACTTGGGGGGACTTGCAATAATGTCCTCTAGTGCCTCTTTGTGGACTTAAATTCCATAATTTCTTTTTTTCCAGGTTTTAGGACCTTGTTGGCCTTTTTCTTTTGTTCGTGGTGTCGTCACGTGGCCTCCATACCTTTTGTTTGACAACTGCCTTTAGACATTTCCTTTTTTTACATTTCGCCGAGGTTTGTCAGTTTGCTGCAGTGGCAGAATACAACTATAAACGAGCATCATTGCCTTTCTTCCCACAATCATCGTAACCACAACATAACCGCATTGTCCATCCTTTTGGTGTTTTTTTTCTGGTTGCTCTGTGCAGGGGACTGCTGTATACGAGTTGTTCATGTGAAACTTGGCAGTTGCTTTGATGGCCTTGTGTGACATCATGGAATTCTTTTGGTCTGCTCACTTAGTCTTTTTTTGGACTTTGATCCTTTTAAGTAAAGATTTCAAATTGATTAGGTAAATAAATAAAAACTAAATAAAGGCAACATCTGACATTTATCAACCACTACCATCAAACAAACCATCAACATACTGCTTTAACAAACCATTCTGAGCTACATCAGCCATGATGGCCCAGGGTGACAACTTAAGTATAAATGTAATTGCCCAGGAAACAGCCTACCTAGAGCAACAGCTTCAGTGTTGGGGGGGATGCGATCTTAACTGTGGACCGTGTCCTGCACTGGGAGAAACCTTGGTATCCTGCTGCCCTGATGGGTACCACTACAGGAATCTTCCTGCTCATTTATTATCTGGATTTTTCATTGCTGACTGCACTGTCATGTACGTTCATGTTGCTCTGCCTGGCTGAGTACTTGATTCCCTTCTTGACTCTGCTGGTCTTTGGATACAATAACTGGACCACTGTGCATCAGCAGCGTTTCCATGAGATCTGTCGTAACTTGGTGAAGGCCCAGCATTTGGCTGTGAGCAGCTGGAAGTGTCTCTGCACCCTCAGGGAAGAGATGCCCAACATGTTTTTTGCTTCACTTTGTCTTGCCACGTTGCAAGTGGCCAGGATCGGACAAGAAATGAACAACCTTCTCCTCACATACCTCATAGTTACCTTTGTGCTCATGCTGCCAGGTTTGAAACATCGTGGAATCATCAGCCTGTACACCAGCATGGCCAAAAGGGAACTGAACAGGCTGCTCACAGAAAAGGTAGCCGTAAGAAGGCTTCTGGTTTTGTAAAAATGAAGCCACTTTCAGGTTCACCAGCACCCTAGAACCTAAAGCTTTTCTTAATGACATAAAAAGGACATTCGATAAAAATGAATTTGTCAAATGGATTTTAGCACTAGACAAAAAATTATACCAAAACTACAGTCCCATGCTACTTTCACATGAGCCCATAAGCTGTTTACACGTCCCAAAGCGGCCTCAGTCTGAACTGTTGCATTGCAAAGGAAGCACTGCTAATATATAATTAGTGAACTAAATAAATGACATACAGGTAGCAAAATACAAAGCTGGAGAGTGAAATTACATTAGATTTTTTTTTTTTTCCTTGTCAGTACATATTTCAGATGTACCGAAATGTTGAAAAGTAGCCAAGTGCTTAATGACACATTCTTACTGTTGAACCAGGACACGTACTTAGAGTTACAGCAACTGCACATTGTGAGAATGAAAAGGGTTAAAGAAAAATACATCAAACATGAAATTGGTGGCACTTTGTCATATTTATTAAATCCAAGTGTAGACATGTGGTCTTAAAAGAGCATCCAGTATGGGCTGTCTCTAAAAAGGTATGGTAACTGAAGAAAGTCCTACAACTTGAGTCAGCTTCACTCACTATCCTGTCATTTTTCAACCACAAAGAGTGGACAAATTGTTGGAGAATTTAATGCTGCAAGAGCAGAACCAAAACAATTTTAAAAAAGCTAACCTGGTGCTTAATTGACCCAGTTCCCATGATGGTGTGGTCCTTAATGTGCATATAGGAAATAGAGAATGTTTCTTGTGTGCAGGGGGCAATGCAAAACAGGCGCCACTCCTCTTCTGCGGCATTGAGAAAACAGCAACCACTTGGAGATGTTCCGACATTGTCATCACTGGGGGAAAGAAGTGGGGACGGGGTCAATTTTAAATTTTGGCTAATTTTGTCAAATTATGAATGAAAATTAACTGATTATAAATTACACCCTATAACTAACAGAACAGTAAAAGACAGAAATTTATCACTTAATACTTACAAATTTTACAACATCCAGGCCGTCCTTGAAGAAGAGCATGAATGGCGTGATGCCATCCTCACGGTAATCCAGCAGTGCAGTCATGCCGTCAGGGTTTGAGGACTCCCCGATGAAAAACTGTCAGATGCAAAGAAAATGGCATCAGAGACTATGTGAGACTACTCTGAACAACTAAGAATAATCCAGAATATCCTGAACATATAAGGTGATTAGCTCATATGGTACAACATCTTACCTGGTAGTTCATGAAGTTTTCCATGATCATTTTAACTGCTGCTTGTGCATCTTTCATAAATACGTCCACTCTTTTTGGATTTGTTTCTTGGAGCTTGGCTTTGATACTAAAAATGAGGGGGGAAATGTATATTTGCAGAACTTCATGGTCCATCTGACTAAAGGTACAATAAAACAACAGTTTAAAATGTTGAAGAGCCCAACCAAGGATTAAGTCTTACCTCTTCATATAGTCCTTCACGTAAGCTTTGTAGGTCGCCTTTGTGAAGTGAACCTCCACCAGTTTGTGGTTTAGAACGATGTTAATGCCTGAACTGACTGCATCATCGTTGCCCTCTTGTTGCTCTTCAGCTGAAGGGTTGGCACCAATTAAACTATCATCAAAGCCCTCCTTCCTGGTTTCAGTCTGGAAATGTTACATGGAGTAAAATATAAATATAAGAAATGTAAAAGAGTGTTGGAAAAATTTAAATAGAAAATTTAAAATAGGGTAAAAACAAGTTATTGACAAAGACATTTATTTTACTGATCACACAAGACTGCTTAAAAATACATGCAACTCCGTTTTTTAGGACACTAGGGCTGAAACAAACTACTTCTAATTTTCGATTAGTCACTGGTTATTGAAACAATTAGTCAACAGATATTTTGCTTTAAAAAAAGGTAACCCCCTTTTTTTAAAGCAAAATATCTGCATGAACATAAACTGCTCCCAAACATTGGACGTTTTGTTGCATGTTTGAGCCAAACTTGAGGATGGACTTGCCTCTGCCTTTTACTTTACTGAGTGGCCCTTAAACTCCGACAGCTACTACTAAATGTACGCATTCATGACGCTTGTCACTAGAATGGATCCAGAAAACGCACCTCCAGCTATAAAGACAACAACCACCACTCAATTACTCTGTGCCTATTTTACTTGTTGCCCCCTTAAATGACATGCATCAAAAAGTAGTAGGACACAAAATATTTTAACTGACAAGTTTACCGATGATGGAATGAAGCTTAATCTAAGGTTCTTTTCATTTTTTTATTATTTTTCATTTTCATTATACTCTTATACAACTGTAAAAAAATGTTACACAAAATGAGTACATACCAAACCGTGACAGGCACTGGGTTATTTAAGTAGTACACAATTTAACTAATTCCCAATCAAATTGTAAATGCTTATGAGAGAGAATATGTTGTGCTAATACCAAAGCGAGGATCAGAACAGGTCTGTACTTAATTCAAGAAAGCAACGTCAACAAATTCATTCTGAAATTTGCCCTTAAGACATTTGTTTTTTAGAGGACAAAAAAACCTCTTAGCTAACATATATGTCATATATGTCATCTGTTCAGAAACTTTTTCTTTCCAGACAATGTCATGTTTATGTTAGTTCTCCTGGTCAAAAAATATAAAGCATATCCTATAAATACTGATAACCACCCCAACTAACTAAGTTTAGAATGACTCACCTTTCCTTCAACTTCATAGAAGAATCCATCTTGAATTTCACGATACTTGAAGGCATCAGAGAACATCTCATCACCTGATGAAAAAAATAAGGACATTAAAGGCCAAGATCCTGGCTTACTTGTGGTGTTGAAAGATGCAATAACATTTTTCAAATATTAATTCATTTACTCAATCTGGACTTTCAAAATGTAATTTCTTTTAAATTATTACAGCACTGCCTCAATTCGAGTTTACAAACGGCTTCAATAGCACCCCAAGTAGAGGAGGTTACCAACGTAAAGAGTTTCTTACACGCTAACTTTTCCTTTGATGGGGTGTTACACAAAGGACTGTGCGGATGTACAAAGTGCGGATAAACAGATAAAAAGGGACCTCACTCACGTAACTAAAATATAACGGAACAACAGACTTTTAAAACAACTGTACACAGAAGCAACGTAGTTAAAAATCTGACTAGTTTTTTACTAGTTGTCCAAAAAGGTAATTACACTAGAAAAAGTCATGGTAGAGAAGCAGCTAGTTGCTAAATGATACCTACAGGCCACACGAGCATTGCGATAATCTTATAACTGACGCTGCATTTATATTCCGGGCCGCACAGGCCTTTAAAACATCAGGCACAACAGTCTCCGCTTTCATCCAACTTTAGCAGCATCGAAACTGCGACCAAGGCCAAAATTTGTCCGGACTTAGTCATAGCCTGTGGAAAAATGAAAATAAACGACCTGGTCCGCCAACTACGACAGTAACTCTCCTAGCCACATTTTTAAAGTTCAGTCTATTAGTGTGAGGCGACGAGATGTGTTAGCAATAGCATCAGTACCACACGAGTTAGCTGCGATCCGAGGCCTCGGCGTCTACCGCCGTTTCTGCTGTGGCAACTTTATACTACGAAAATAACGCTGATATTCTTCCTCTCCAAAGCCAAAGGCAAGACCGCTTCAAAACACGATAAATTACCGGTAATGATGTCCTGGAAGATGATCATTTTGTCTATTTGGTGCTCACTCTTTCACAGATACCGCAGAGGCCTGTCGTCCCGGCAGCACGAGAGACGGAAAAGACCGATCATCCGCCGAGGTAACGGATTTACACCCCTATTACGTCACTGTGATGTCATCCAAGGATGAGAATTGTCTGAGCTCTCCTGCCAACGTGACAAAGCGGCGACCGAGAGGAATGCAGGTGTTCGTCAGCAATAAGTATTAAATAGATGTGACAACATCATCAAAATATAGTTTGCAAACATTTCAAACTAGCTGTTCCCAATTATTTTCTGCATTGCCGCCCTTTTGTAGATGGGCAGTTGTAGCCAGAGTCGAGGCTTTATTGTCTCTCTGCTGTAAGGACACACACTCAAAAATGTGACAGTTAATGCATAAAGGTATTAATTTAATCAGCAGCCATGTAGCTAGTAATATTATATTTAATTAACAATAACTATCATTTACAATTACCATCTAACATCCATTTTAATTTGACATGAGACTCCACATCCAAAATAATTACATTAGGTTTAAATTAAATCCTAACCACTTTTTTTTAACCTAAATGAGACAAAGGAAACATTTTTTGATGTCTTTATTTTGTTCTGTAGTAGTTTAGACAGAGGCCAACAGCCTTTTAAATCAATGATTCATATTTATAATATTACATTTCAGAATGTTATGTAAATGCATTTTTAAATGATCTGACACGTTTTAAATGCTACAAATGGAGACTAAAAGGATTTTGTCTTTAACCCAACAGTTGTTTTGTTGTCTATCCCTAACTGTAAGCAATTTCCACTTCAAACAGTGCAGATATTCTAAGTTATGACACAAAAAACAGTAACATTAACAGTACAAAGGTGCATACTGTAACAGATGACAATATTTAAGAATGTATATTGCAGGAATTTGAAAAGAAAAGGACAGTTAAAGCAGGAAGTAGAAGAGAAACAGTGATGTAGCTTTGCAAAAGCCATCTACGGTCTGACACCAGAGAAAAGGTGGAGATAGTGTAAAAGCTGTACAGTCTGGATATCATGTCTCCAAACATTTTAATTAAATTCACACCTTAAATAAATCTATGTAATGTATTCAATAATCTACAGTGTATTTAAAAATGTTTACATCCCAAAATACTGTGCATCAGATGTTATGTTATGTTGTCAACAGCATTAGCTTAGGTTGGAAGATGACTCTAAAAACTATTTTTGTTTTTCTTTTCTTTTTACAGACATCTATATCATTTGTGGCCCAGCAGTACAAAAATAGTTCATTATTCATAATACTGAGCTAAAACACTCACAGAACTACACAATAGTTTGTATATGTATATGTAAAGTGCTATAGTTGAGTAAAAATATGTTTTGAAACATGTTGAAGTACAGGACTTTTTTTTAAACACATCAAAGTATAATTGGGTAGTTAGGTTGGGTACAACTTAGAGTTCAATATGCAAACAGACATCACAACATAGTTTCTAGTGTGGACATTCTCCATGTGCTTTCATGCACTAATACAACTATAAAAAAAACTTCCCAATTACTCTTATTAGAAAAACATTATTGCAACTTTTACATGATCCTTATTACGTTTGTTCATATTTAGAAATGTAGTAAAATGGTTGTGGGGATGTGAAAAAGTGTCCCCACAGGGATGATTCTGAACCAAAATTAGGAAACAACTCATTCAACTGTGAGATCTGTGACACTTGTCTGCCATATGATGGTAACTTCAAAGAAAATCATTACCGACATTGCCTTACAGGAACATGGTCACTGATTTGATCCTGGTCCTATTGTTTGTCCCTGACTTTTTTAAATAATTCCAAATCTTTCCTGGTTCACAGGCTGAAAAACACTAGTAAATTATTGTTCTAAAAATCTAGGGTAAAAGAAAGAATTAGAAAATCATGCCTGAAAAACACTACAAATAATTTGTGACAGGAGTCAAACTAGTAACAATGAAGAATGTTAAACAGCTCCCAAGTTCAAGAATGAAGATTAGGTATAAAAGGAGCATTTACCAAACACAACTTCACAAAGCAGGAAAAAAAGAATTCAGACCTGTAAGGCATTGTGGAAGGTTCAGGCTGAAAAGGTTCAAAAACTGAGATCTTTAAATCAATACGAACTGTTCTGAACCTGGCGTCAATTTAAGTCGGACCAGACTTGTCGGGCCTGTTGCAAGTATGAATTTCAAATAAATTTTTCTATGTTTAACTTATAGTTATGTATAAATGATGTTCCTTTTTTCTGATTACCAGAGTCATATTATCCTGAAGATTGTTAGAAAAAAGTAGTAATTACTATAAAAATCAAGTTTCCCTTTTGATATAATCATATTTGTGTCGTAATCCTTTCAGATTTTTCCTTTTGATCACACAAGTGAGCAACAAAAAGAACGTTTGTTTTTTTTTACTGAGATGTTTTTTCTTGTTTCTTTAAAATCAAGTCAACTGCATTCCAGGCAAACACTGCAAAATAATTTAAAAAATCTCAGATATTTCAAAGTAACATAGTGACCTGTTAATGTAACAACGATAACAGGTTCCCTGAAATGTCCAGAGGAGGGCAAAAGCGTTGGCCAACAAGTGAGACGTCATTTCCTGTGTGTAACTGAGGTGAAACACTGACCCCTCCGTCTGCTGTGCTTATGAACTCGACTCTTGCAGGATCTGGATATAACAGGCCTAGAGCAAAGACATGTAGCTTTATGGACGTGAAAGTATAAACATGAAATCATTCTTATCATTCATTTCACTGCATTACACCTTTCAGGAATCAAAGAATAATTAAACAGAAGTACACTGAGCATTAACTGGATGGAAAAAGTAAAAAATAACAAATAAATGTTTGTGTGTGTGCTGCACCTTCAGTGTTGTAAACATGAGTCCCATCTCCCCATGCTGAACGTTTGAATCCATCAGGTCTTCAATTAAACTGATTTCAGCTCCCAAGTTCCTAATCCTATAAAGTGGCCCCGTTAACAAGAAAAAAAGGTTCTCAATCTATGGTGTGTGTGAACCACTGGCAGCACGTTGGCTGAGTCTAGTGGCAGGCAGGGAATTCATTTTTTTCTGGGAGGGTAGAACAGTGAGAGGACTGACCTTGCTCTCAGAACCACATAGAGAAAGAGTGGCAGCAGGTCATCCATGGACCACAGGAAATCATCCGCCACCAAAGGTTTTACTTCCTGGGTCAACTCCTCAAAGGTTTTCTGGATCACCATGAGTTTGTCTGAAGGGGTGAAGGTGGTGCTGCGTGTGCAGAAAGGAAAATCCATAATGGCATATTATATTAATCCCAGTTAATCTCTAGCTAAATCTAGCTAATCTTAATAAACACTAGAGCTGGGTTTCCAAAACTTTTTTTCTGGGCACCCATATTTTAAAAGTCACAAACCTTTGTGACCCAAGACAATAGACGTAAACTCCTGGGAAACATGCGAGACAACCCCAAAAAAAATCTCTTGCAACACACCTGAGGGTCGCGACCCAGTCTTTGCGAAACAATGCACTAGAGGGTTACAATGTTGTATTAATTTAAATAGTCTTAATAATCCGTAGTGTGTTTCCACGAGTTTAACATAATTTTATTAAACAGTGATCGATGGAGTGATCGATTTGAAGGTGTTAGCTCTCGCACACAGTACCTGATTTGCTGGAGTGTCTCCACGGCAGAGACGTAGCAGGCATCTTCACTACTGGATACAATCTGATGTAGAAGAAGAGGAAAACATGTTTTATAAAATGATATTACATGTTGAAAGTGCCACAGGAGAAACAAGTTGACACCAGCTTAAAAAAATAACAAAAAGAAAGAGAGAGAGAGTAGAAGAAAATGACACAAAATTTGACCTGTTTTGTTTCTCCAAAAACTGATATCAACACTGGCCAGAACTTCCTACAAAATGAGAGAAAATCAGGATACAGACAACTAAAAAAAGAAGAGTGTGTGTGGATGTTTGAACAGACTCACTTTTGCACCCCCAAAAAACTGAGCAGTGACTGGTCAGGCTGTCTGTTCAGTTGGAGGACGCATTCCCAGTACTCTTTCTGCTCCTCCTGCAGGCAGTAGAGGGTAAAGAGAGGAGGGTAGAGGCGAGGGAGGAGCAGAGGGAGCAGCAGAGAGGAGCAGCTCACCACCACAACACTGGAGGACAAGAGGCAGGAGGAGAGAAAACTGTATTTGCCATTTCCTAACAGCATCATTAAAATCAATGTTATATTTCTCAGACAGTGTGTGTGCAGTAATACTCACCCCTGCTCTTCTGTGTTGGAGTTGTGTCTACTTTTGGACAGGGAGGCAGGGGGATCTGGTAGGACACCGCCATCTTCTGGTAACCCAGGAAATAGAAACCTAAGGCCAAATGATTTAGATCAGGGGTCAGCGACCCTTTTGAAACAGAGTTACTTCAAGGTCACTCAGTAACATAAAGAGCTACTTGTCTGATACAAACTTCCTGAACAATGTAATAATAAATCAGTTCTGGGACAGACAACAGTAGACACTCTTCTTACCATCGTCTTTGAACCCATTTGAATATCATTGCAAATGGAACTGATTCAAAAGGCACAGTAACAGTACCATTTCTGACCCTCTTGTTGACTAGTTTTATTTTGAGAACACCTTAGGTAGTCCAGGGAGGCTACCAGGTGACCCCATGCACCACGTTGATTACCTCTGATTTAGAATTTCAAAAATGTTAAGTTAAGGTTAAGCTAACTTAATACATCGCACTCACAGCAAAACAACATGTCACTGTCCTCTGAACTCAGGTGTGAAATTCTTAGATAGAGCAGCAATGTTGATTTCAGGTAAAAAAAAATTTTTTAAAAATCATGTGATTGCAGTGAGTGTCAAACTGAATATTGATCACTATTATTGACTGCATGCCTTTCGTACAACAGACTAAATCGTACTCCTTGTTCTTTATAACTCTCTTCAGTATTACTACTGTATTACATTTATTAAAATATTTTTTAATAAATGTCTCTTTCGGTGTTGAGGGTTGCAGAAGTACCGGACAATGTTGAAGTAATGGCTGAGGTAGGCCTGGACTTCTTGGACCGCCTGTCTGAGCAGCCTGCGATTAGACCCCACACCAACGTATGTCATTCTGTATACAGTCACCAACGTCTCCACTAGCCAGCCCAGAGGGTGGATGGGGGTCTCACAGGCCTGACACACACACACACACACACACACACACTCTAATTATGAAACGTCAGCTACATCAACATTTACTGTATATGTAAAAAAAACAACAACAAAGACTTGGTTTTAAGTCGTGGCTCAATGTTTTGTTCTCAGGTTCAATGGGTAAAATGGTGTCGTATTTAGGCCTGTCATCATCTACCATTTCTATTAAGATTGGAACCTATAAACATACAGTATGTGCGACCTGTAAGCCTCTGAAGTCAGATTTTATGCAGAATCTATTTTTAAGTCTTTAGGCATTGAACAATCTGAGAATGTTGTACAGACAAAAAGGTGGGGCCAAACACATCAACATTTCAACTGTTTTTTTTACAAAAAAAGTAAAAACAAAAATAAAAGGTTTTACACATCTTTATTATTATTATGATTAGTTAAATAATCCAGAATGGTCATTTTAATCTGACCAAACTATGTACAGTATGCCAGCATATGGGTAGCATTGACAGTAAAAGAAAAAAAGATCAGATAAAGTACTTTAAATTTGAAATACCTTGATGAGATAGCGTCGTATGTTATTATAGTTTGCAGTAGTGACAGCTTCTGCGTGATGGGGAATCAACTCCAGACACTCCAGAACTTTGCTTTGAGATCTACTGAGGTTTATGCTGCACACACACACACACACACACACACACACACACACACACACACACACACTTAATAGGAAACCACTTAGTAAATATGTCATCTGTTCCCACATTGTTTCGGGTGTGGAGTGCACAGCATTTCCTCCTGGCTTCCACGTTTAACAAATTTGGATTAACTATGACTTAAATGTGAAAAAATTATTAGAAAATTTAGACCTGCGTCGTCGTGCATTTGTTATCGTGACAGCGATGTTCTCCCAGGCTGTCGTCCTCTCTCCTCTTCCGTTTGCATCACAGCCCAGTCGGCGCCAGCATTCACTAAACACAGAGCCCCACCTGTGGCCTGTGTCCGACAAGTACTGACCTGTCCTGCTGTGCGAGCACAAGAAGGGAATTTGTTGAAAAAACAAATATATATAGTTCAGTATCTCCTATTGTTCAGCATCTGCTACCCAGGCCATTGGAAAGTCCCTGTTATGTGAATAATTAAAGGGAAATTTAAGGTATTTAAAGTAAGACTTCGTGCCCTAACTTTTTGTATTATTGTATTATATTACTAATTTGACATCCTTCCTAACATATACAGTTAATGCAGGTGAGCTGCTTCACTTGCAGCCAATCAAAATGGGACGCAGCTCTGTTTATATCAAAGGTTTTGATATCCTGTGTCACATTTGCGCACATTATTTAATTGATTTAAATGAAACTTCAGCACTGGTGCACTGTCTTACAACAGGCGGTTCCTGTCTTTGTTGTCAGGTTCATCCACAGCTGGTTTACTATATGTCGCAACCACTTTCAGCCCTGTGTTCCACTCTCCACTGAACAGGCCGTCTAGACAATCCCCGTTCACAAGAGACAGTACACCCTGAAGTGTAGAGGAGGTGTGGGAGCAGAGAAACATAAACAGAGAAACACACAGAGAAAATGACCAGTAGTTTAACATGATAACAAAACTATTAATATTCAGATATGTGTCGAGCACATGGATCAAAAGATAGAGAAAAAACCTTTCCGTTGACTGTCCAGTCATCAGAAAACTCCCCGTGGAAAACAGTATCGTCATCACAAACCAAAAGCCCAACACCCTGAAAGAACAACAAAGAAAATTTAACATTAATATTTACCATATGTACAATTATTATTTCAATTAGAGATGTCTGATAATAAAAATAAATACATTTTGTACAGACAATGTTAATTTGTGGAATGCCTAAAGTAGGTAATGTGATAATTCCACGACAGGAGATATGTGCTGTGACCTAAAAATAGTTGTGGGGAAAAAGGCCTGCATATATTGGTATCAGTTGATATCAGTAGTGGCGCTTTGGCCCACAGGTAGTCGTTGGTGTGGAACCCCAGAGTTCACCTCCTGGGCAAGATCGAACCCTAGTTAGGGCGGTTGGTACCTTCCAGTGGACTCACCACCTGCAGGAAGGTGGGTTGATACGGTACAGTGTGATTTGAGTGGCGACTGCTGACCCCGCGACCCGGCAACGGATAAGCGGATGAAAATGGATGTATGGAGTTGATATCAAAATCAGGAATTAAATGTTTGGACAATATAGTGGGAAACATAGTTCATATCATACATCCCTAATTTCAATATTCTACATGTCAAAGTAGATGTGAACAATAACGTCAACTAAGTAACAACAGTCAAAACATAATTAACCACAATCTTGGGAGAAACACATTTATCATAATAGAGCCGTGACTGTGGAAAATGTCATGGATTAAAAATACTGTAACAAAACTTTTCAACTACTACAGAAAAAAAAGATTTAAAGCATGAGCAAAAGTCACTCAAGTGAACAACAACATTGGCAACACAAAGTATTTCCACTCATGTGAGTACATGAAAAAAAGGAAGGCCAGCTTGTTGATAGCAGAGGCCAGAAAAATGTTATTCACACATCCAAAAGTTAACACACGTGAGTGACATCACATCATTGTACCCACTTGTTACAATGACAATACAGACTATTCTATTCTATCAATAGATCAGTTCTTATGACCAGAGGACCCAGGGTTGAGTCCCATTATGGCAGTAAAGCTGTGTCAGATGCTGGAAATGACAGGAACATTGGTTTAGGACGGGGACACCACATGACCCCCCCGACAACAAGTGATGTCAGACGAACTCACGCTCATCTTGTTCTCTTTAAAGGTCCCTTCAAAGTAGATCCCACACTGAGTGACGACCACAGCACTGCCGTGCCGCTGGTCATCCAGCCACAGCCCCATGTATTTCTCACCTCTGGGAAAAACAATTGTTTAATGTTGAATAAAGTTTCCCTCTAAAAATAAAATTACACAGAAAAAAGATCTTAGAAAAAGAATGAACCTGTGAAACATTTAAAAAAATCAATTTCCATTTGAGGTACAAATATATAATCAATGTATTTACTGATCAAATTTGTGACACAAACGTATTTCAAGTGAAAAATTTGTCATTTCAAAAACCTGCTATTTAAACACATTTAAATAATGATTTGTTTTGTGAACACAGGAGTAATCAGACCTGGTGATGTCATCATACACTCCATATCCTGTCTTCCTGTCCTGGACCCATTCTCCAATGAAGACACTAGCTGAAGTCCTGGTCTGTTTACCAGAGCTCAGCATGCCATAACCATGTCGCTGTCCGTCACAGAAACAGCCCTCGTACACCTCACCACTGGCGTATCTGAGGGATTGAGCAGAGCTACATCTGAAGACAGAGGTCTAAAATGTAAACAGGTGACTTTGGTGGAAATCAAGTCAAACCAAGTTCTAAACAGATCACATATGACAGTGTTCTTACCTGTATTTGCCAAAACCATGAATCCTGCCCTCTCGCCACTGTCCTTGGTAAATGTCTGGTTGATTCTGTTCCTTATTAGGTATAACAACCTCCCCGTAACTAAAAAAAAAACCAGCAATACTCAAACATCAGTGCAACCTTACTGATTGCTGATGACAAAGCCACAAAATCAACATGTTATTTAAAAGAGAGAAGTTTTCTATCCAAGCCAACATTTACAGACATTGTTCCATTTTGGGTCAATAATCAATTTCTGAATATGACATAACAGATGCACACATACTGACCCATCCTCCAGTCCATTCTTGAAGTTTCCAGTGTAAGTCTGTCCATTTGGCCACTTCATAATTCCCCTGTAAAAGAAAACAAAAAATCAATTAATCAGTACATGTCATGTTCCAGGTGGACAGAATAGTTTAATTAGGTTCATATTCACTGCTAGACAAGAGTTCAGTACATTTACAACATAGAAACATGAGTGGTTTGAAAGTGAACTGATTAGAAGGTCCTGACCCAAACCTGGAGCTGCTTCTACACCTCATTACTAATTCAGTCCAGAAATTTGATTTTGGTACTCAGCCAACAAAACTAAAGGTTGCTGTCAAAAACAAATAAACTAATGATGGACGTTTAACGCACACACCCAAAGGCAAACGTCACCTCGGCACACACACACCAAAGTTAGGATTACATCACATGAGCATAAACACATTTACAGACAAACACAAAACACTCATCTTAACACAGTGGTTCTCAACCTTGTTTGAATCATTACCCCATTTCAACAATGCAAATTTCTGGCGACCTAGAGACATTTTTACACATGCAGCAGCTCAGACATTTGTATCTCCTGCATTGTATTTTTTTTATATATATATGTTTTATTTATAACTTTTTAATATATAGAAACAGGGTAGGAAACACAAACAGATAAAACAAAATCAAAATAAAGAATTACAATGAACAAGTGTACATGAGCAAAGCTGCTCATTACAATTAATATACAGTATAGGTATATAAAATAATAAAACAAAAAAAAGAAAGAGCAAAAGAAAGATCCTGCTCAAAAATAATACATACTTTGTTATACAAACTGGACCAGTCAGCTATAAATCAAGCATTTTAAAGTTACATTGGCGGAAAGTGAGCGATTACTTTTATGCTATTCTTGATAGATATAGTAAGAAAGGTGGCCACATCTTATCGAAAGTTGCAGAGCTGAGAGAAACACTGTATCGAATCCTTTCTATATGTAGTAGGCTGGTGACCTCAGAGAGCCAGGCCTTAAAAGAAGGCGTGGCGTCACTTTTTCACAGAGATAAGATGTTCATTTTTGCAATGATCATAATGTATAGTTTTACGGTGCATGTCGGTGAGCATAGAGAGGTGTTGGGAGCAACCCAGGATTGCAGTGCGTGAATCTGGAGGAATATTGCATTTATATACCTCAGAGAAGCATTTAAAAATATCAGACCAAAACTGGTTTATCGTGGGACAATGCCAAAAGAGAGAGAGAGAGTTCCCTCAGCTGATTTGCATTTCGAGCAGATTGGGGATACAGATGGGAAGAAAGAATGAAGTTTAGTACATGAGTAGTGCAACCTATGGATAACTTTAAATTGAATGAGTTGATGTCTAGAATTTAATGAGCATTTGTGAACATCAGCAAGGTAAGTTTTCCAATCCACATCAGATATTGGCAAGGCTAAATCTTTTTCCCACTTTAATATGTTGGGAAGAGGCCGGTTTAAGTGAGTTGAAGATGTCAACAAATTGTGAGGCAAGTCTCTTGGAGTCAGGAGGTTGATTCAAAAGTGTGTACAGCTCACGTTTTTACGGATGAAATCTTTGACTTGTAGGTAACGAAAGAAGTGTGTTTTTGGCAGTGAGTGAAAAATTCTCCTTCAGTTGAGTGAAAGTAGCCAAAGTCTTATTGAGATATAGGTCCCCGATGGTAATGATACCCCTATTTGCCCAAAGCACAAATGTGTTGTCAGACAGTGAGAGGGCAAAGTTATGGTTTCTGTGGAGTGTGTTGTAGGTGGTGATCCCAGGTAGGTTGAATGACTTCTTGATACCAGATTTTCAAAGAGTTTGCAATTATGAAATTGTTCTTGGCAATGGATTTTAGGGGCTGCGGTGGAGAGAAGAGAAAGGCAGGTAAGGAACTAACAGGAAGCCTTTGTTCAATAACAAGCCATGATGGGGTCCTGCATTGTATTTTAACTTGATGTGTGTGGGGCTTTTAATCATAATTTTAAAAATAACAATAATTATCTAATAATTATTAGTTGAAAAATATTTTTCTCAGTAATTTTTTTATTATTAATTATTAGACATTTCAGCCGACCCATTTGAATTCCAAGAAACCCCAAGGTTGAAAAACACTGGTGTAACAGCTACTTTACGTCAACATCTGGTCCTGTAGCACAAACCTGAAAGACACCACACTCTTGCTCTTACCTGCCATGAACTCGTCCTGCCAGCCAGCCCCCGATGTAGCGGGCCTCTTTAAAGCGACCCTCTCCACTGAATGTGTAGGACGCAGTGCGAGACACACCCATCATACCAGGTGACGATCCCTGGGCTCCACCACCCAGCACCTGATCCACTGCCTGGTTTAGAGCTCTCAACCACTTGTTCTGCACAAAGACAAAACATGACATTTCTGATGGTTTCAGTGGTTTCAACTGGGAGTAAATATATAAATCAAACTTGAAACTTACCTTCTCCTGTGGTGACGAGGCCACAATAGTGAAACTCTCCTCTGGACATGTAATTTTTATAGCGTGGCTATGAATAGACAAAAAGACAATGTGTAACTATCTGAGTAGAAGTGATGCTGACAAATACTGAACTAATCATTTTTTTACAAAAAAAATGTATTTCTTAAATTTCATGTAAACTCAATTCAATATTTTTTTGATGCAAAGATCACCAACACTGATGAGCCGACACAGCATCAGTCATTAAGTCAGTTAATAAGAAATGTGGCTGGGTGATGATCTTTCCGTCAGCTGGTAGTTTATTCAATGATGTGGATTAAAACAGGTAAACTCACAGTCCACTGCTGTCGTCAGTAACTGGTTTCACCCACAAACAAGTCAGTGGAGAGATGTGATGTGTCGAAAACTAGGGAGAAAAAAAGGAAGAAAAAAAAAGCACAAAAAAAATCTTTTTTTTTTGTCACTGTACAAATACAAAGACAATAAAGTCTTCTGTATTTAAACCCTCCAGAAAACTCCACAGCCCTGGCAGTGCTGGGAATCAAACCATCAATCCTCAGAACACATAACCTTCACTTCAAACACTAGAGAGGAACTTGGCTTGTATTTCTGCAGCACAGAGCTACATTTGATTGTACATCTCTACATCAATAAATACACAGAGTAAATTCATTATTTTAATAGAGATACATTTGATGTGGTCTGTCACAAGAACTGTATTTCCTGGACAAAATACAGTGGTTCCATCAAGGAAAAATTAGGATCATTGTTCAGTCTAAACTCACCATATGTGTGATAGTATTTGGGTTTGTTTGCATACAGATAAGTGATTTTACAGAGCCATTGTCATTGTTTTCATGATGAGAATACCTGAGCTGTATCCACTATTTCATGAATATATCACGTATTAGTAATTATTTTTCCAAAACTAAATTCACCTCAACCCTAACCTTAACAAGTCTCTTACTGTGAAAATTGTTAATATAGACGGAAAATATCTTTAATGAAGAAGTTTAAGTTTACCTAAATAACAGATGGGTAAAAACCCTAATACATTCTACATTTCATTACAAAGAAAATAATAGTTTCACAACTTTTGTTGACACAACAGCCCACAACCATCAGCATTGAACTGTGAGTTAGTGTTCAGCAGCAAGCAGGTTTACCCTGGACAAAACACACAGGACCTGAACCTGTCGACTGCTGTGGTCTGTGTACATCAGTGACTGTGATTTCTCCTTGTCATCTTTTCAGATCACTGTATTTAAACTAATAAAACAGTGGAGGTTATTAATCTCTGGAATAACAGCTTTGAGGCCTGTTAACTATGATGTCTGTGATAACATCTAGTTTCAAAGGTGGTGGACAAAATCCCACTTAACACACACACACACACACCCCTCCTCCCCCCTCCCTCTCTCGGCTAGCAGTTACTACAGGACAGTAACAGCCAACAAAACAACATGCAGAAAATAAATGGATTTTAACACAGAACATCTTGAATCTGGGAGAAATTAAAAAATAAAAAATAAAGGGTATGATTTAATGCAAGTTCACTCTATTATCTATTATCTGATAATAAAAATAAATAGCTGCAAATTCCTGCAGACCAAACTGAAGTGTCTTTTACAAGAACTACTAATAATAAGGGGGTTCATGAGGGTGGGGCAGATCTAAAACATACAGTGTTCTGTGTTAATATTCACTTATTTACATTCTCAAACCACATGATCCTCTTGAGGGGTGTGAGTACTGAGCGGAGGCCAGCCCACCTGTGCTACTGCAGCACAAAGCTCAAGGCACACAAAGTTCATTTGTCGTTGAGAAGTGATGCTGATTTCAACTGGTGTCAGAAATACTTACAAAAGTCTGAGAGGGAATGGCACCCTGAGTGAATGAGAGACAGAAACGTTTATACATTTAGCCCAAAGACAATCCATCCATGTCCAGGAGTAGCGGCTCCTCAACATAGACACACAGATACAAGAGGAGCTGCACTCACGTTCCATTAATAAATACAGAGAATTAACACTGATTTGGGAAAATCAAACACACGTGTTAACTGTCTTCTATCTGTAGCTATTGTTCACTAACCTTCAGGCAATCGTTTTTAAATGATGTGGAAAATGCAGTAGTGGTCAAGTACAAATTCAAATGAACTGTCCCTGAAAGATGTCACTGGTGCATACCATTTGCAGTCTGGCTGCTCTGTGGCATGACACAGGGCCACAACCCATATGTTGGTTTGTGTTTTTTATTAAAATGGAAGGTGTACTGTTTCCTTTAATCTGATGATGTAATCTCTACAATATTGTGAAATGAAATATTGTGATATTTCAGTGTATCAGTATTTTCTTTAGGGAGGGAGGGTGGGGGGATTGTCTTTGCACAGATTAGGGGTCAAAGGAAAGAGGTTTTCTTTCATGTACTGACCATTTATTAGGTTTAACTTTGAGTCTGTGTAAATAAAATTAATTTGAATTTGATTAACCGTTTAATAAGAACTTGGTATAAAACAACCACTGTTTAGTAAAGTTTATCCAAGGCTGCCAGTATAGGAAAAAATTTCCAACATGTGCGAGCAAACTTGTATAAGGAGTACAGAGTGTATGCCAGTACCTGCGTGTGTACCAGTGCATCATTGAAGAGTATGAACCAGTGGTTGGAGAAGCGCCTGGCGTTCTGCAGGGTGAGTGATCTGTTGCTGCTTTCACACACAACGCGGCGCTGCGGGAGACGCAGCTCCTCCTGAAAAACAAACAGAATCAGCTGCTCCATAAAACCTCACACACTGTGGAAAACAACTGCATTTACAGAAAATCCTGCCCCGTTAAAAGACAGTCATTAAAACAGACTCCTCCAGACAACAGACTTTACACTGCTCTGAAATAAAAAAAACTAAAACACAAATGGTAAAAACTTTTGTAGTTTAATTAGTTATTTCTGTTGTTCAACATTTACAACTAAAAACTCCAATAGACTTGACTTAAAACACTAATTTCTACAGAACTGCTATTCCAATGAAACTGTCAAGGATATAAATTTGGTGCATTTTTACCACTGCAGCTCAAAACAAGAAGGTTATAAACTGAAAATTAATTTGCCTTTGGGAACCGGATTTTCTTTGATCAAGTATATTTTCATGGAATGAGGCATCTAAAAAAACATTTTCCAAACTGCTCAGAAAATATTCCACCGGGGAAATAAAGAAGCCCATAATGTGAAAGTTTTTCTTCTGACTCACCAACAACATTTACGTACTAATTCTGGTGCTGCATCTCTGTTATTAGCATTTTGCACTCAGTTGAGCAAATATAGAACGGGTCAATTTGATCTAACCATAAGCCAATTATTCAGTTTTGGCCGATATTCGGTCGATAACCAATCCGTGGATCCCCAGATAACATCAAGACAACGTTGCTTGTGAGCTCACAGTATATTTTCCCGAGTGGCTTTTCCAGAAGAGGAATGTGGTTTCAGCTTCTTTCTTCTTCTTCATTAGGAACAAAGACAGGGACTCGTACTGAACGCTGGCCTGATGCAGAGACTCGTACTCTGTTGTTAACTAGGAGAGAAAAAAAAGACAAGACAGTCACGTTTGAGTGTATGTGTGTACACACAGAGGAGAGTGTGTGGTGTCAGCTTAGAAACTAGTCAGATTAATTAATCCATCATGGAAAGTACAGAACGTTGAAGACGGTGGCAGGAAGAGGACAAGGAAGAAGAGTGAGAAGCAAAAGTGGAAAGATGAAGTCATGTCCTCACCACATCGTAGCATGCAGCCAGTTTAAGCAAGAGTCGGTTGTACTGTCGGGGCTGCTGCAGAGGCCAGTACAGCAGTGTAACTAGATCAACATCACCAGTGGCAGACTGGTCCGGAACACACAGCCTGGCAAGTGTGGTCTGCTTAGAACCCAACACCTCACTGAAATAAAAAAAGAGTTTTAATCCTCTGCTGACCTTTGACCTTTTCTGGCTGAATTCATTTTTGTCTTTAGCCATAGAATATATTGAAGAATAAAAAGGTCTTACAGTGAGAGTTTGTGAAGTAACTGGAATCCATTCATCACCTGAAAGTTACCCAATGCAGAACAGTACCTGCCAAAAAAGAGGGGAGGAGTGTGGTGAAAACTGAGAGATGGTCATTTTCAAAAACGAAACTAAAAAATATGAGTTACTACAAATTCCTACTCCTTGTAAACTTCTAGAAATTCATCGATGTGTGTCAGATGAAGGAGGGAAGTGATGTCATGGCTCTGCACATCATGGAGGAAATAGCTCAGTAAGGTGGAGTGACGACCAATCAGAATGCTCAGACGATTAAAAGTCTCACAAAGAGAGATGAAGAGATGAGTCCACAGTTCACCTAAGGACGAGCATGAAGTCTCTGTAAAGGAGACGAAAACACACAGCTCTTTGTGTTGGACACAATTTTCATTTTTTTTAATTAGACTTATTAAATAATTAATTTCTAATTTGGGCTATGACTTGATAATAATCTAATCAGATTTCTTTATTTTATTTCAGCAGGTCACTGGGTTCTCAATTGTTTCTCTGAATGTTAAATATTAATCATATAATGTGATTCATCAGGACCCCGCGCCGGTGGTTTGGATACGCATATCTTTGATAGTGGTGCTTCTACTGGTAACTAATGATGTCACTGCCTTCAAATAGATTCACAATTAGTGGTGCTAACAAAAAACAAAAAACAAAGAAGAAGCGTGTTTCAGAAGAGGTGTTACCCTTGTTGCGCGTGGGCGTGAGCAGAAGGCTCCTGATGTCACTCAACCAACAATAGAATCGTCTTTCTCTGGACGCTAGCTCGTGGATAGTGGAGATGAAGCCCATGACGTTCTGGTCTGCCAGTACTGCACAGTTCTGACCACCACAGCACACGGTGCTAAAATAACTCATCTGCTGACACAGAACCACATTAAGGATGTTAGTTGATGATTCACTGTAATGAAGAGTTAATCAGTTTTATAGTGCATTTAAATGTAACATAAACAGTGACATAAAATATTCTTCATTTTTACTGTGGAGGGTATTCAGCCTCAGCAGAGAAACTAAAGGAATTTAAATGTGTACCAACCTCCATGTACACTGGCAGCTGGATGGGCCTGACTGTATAGCTCTCAGCCCTTCTAGGCGACCTCTGGGATGACCTTTGACTCTGGTGTGGCTTCTTGTTGTGCACTGGCGTTGGCTGTTGATGCTGACCACAGTACAACAAGACCGGCTGGACAGAGTCTCCATCCGCCAGCAGCAGGGAGTGGCTCTGTCCGGCTGACACGTCCCAAACCTGAAGACCCTCGGACAGCTTGAACACACACACACACACACACAATAGTTGGTAATTAATGTAATTGTATTGTATAATTATACTGCTCTGTTCCACATATTGATTTCCATGTTGACTCTTATTCAGGACATTATTCTGTACCTTCACCTCCTGAGGAACAGTGACTGGACTGTTGACATGGCCCAGCTGACCACACATGTTGCTCCCCCAGGAAAACACCTGCAACAGAAGGGCATAGTTGTAGCCTGGAGTGTGCGTCTGTGAGTAGGAATTATTTTCCAATAGTACATAATGATAATTAGTCTACAACGATGTGTGTGTTACTTTGCACTGAGCAGTGAGGGCCAGAGAATGGTGAGACCCTGCAGCAACTCTGGTCACTTCCTTTCCAGTCAAAGACTTGACACACAGAGGCTGGAGTCTGCACAGGCACACGCACACGCCCACACCCACACCCACACACAATAACAGGGTTAATTGAGATCCAGAACAATAGTTTATTTTAATTACTTACCATCAAATAAAAGACATGTTTTCTGAAACATCGGAGTAAGTTTCTTATAAATACTGCATTTATAATGTAAGCCAAACATTATCATTATTTACATCTTCTCTGGGGTTTCTGAAGACCAATAAAACATTGTACTTATGACAGCTTTATGTGCTTCCTTTTTTTCAGATTTACAAGAACAAATTTGTGCAGATTTGAATTTTCATGTTCACAGTAAGTGCTCACTTACTGTAGTGAACTGAAACGCTGAACTGAACTGAACTAGTGAAACTGCAGCAGAGAAACTTTTGATGCTAGTTTATATTGTGTTCCAGATACTGGTGTCTGATTAATCATTTATCGACTGTGGTGGTTGAGAGATATAGCATAAAACACAAACAGTAACATACATTTGTTGTCAATATTGATTGTATATTTACAGTAAAAAGAAATTAAATCAGTCACTCGACCGTCTTTCATACACAGCCAGTGGTTCACACCTAGCGAGCTGGTCTCCATGTCCCAATTGCCCCTCGGAGCCACGGCCCCAGCTCCACACTTCTGTCTCCAGAGAGGGTAACTCATCTCTAGTCTCCTCTGGTGTTGCAGTCCGACCGGAGGAGGATGGTCTGCGGGCACAAGATCGCCGACGTCTCGGGGATCCTAAAGGAAAAAACGATATTTAATGCCTGCATCTGATCCACGGCTGGAAACTTACTGACTCTCTGCAGTTAGTTTCACTTTTCTCCCAATTTTTATTTTTGTTTTTAAAAAAAATTTCACTTATTTTGCACTCCAGTTAACAACTTTAAGGTAAGTTCATAGACTTCAACTTGAAAAAAATGTACACCTTCAGGTTTTGTCTTTACCCAGAGGAACTAAATGCTTGGTGCCTGCTGAGGGCAGCCTGATAACAGCATATCTGCTGTTAACGCAAGAATTTCCTAAATATGGGCTCAATATAGTTCAAATTAATGTAATTTATTTTGTTAAGAAGCATACTTTACATTTTTCTTGGAGACTATGGAGCTATGCTTGGTTATGAGACCTATACTGTAGTCATGACATTTACACCTCATCATTTCTACCATGGTTGGGTGTTCCAGGCAATGAGCGTCTCCTATTTCCCGCCTTTGTTCCACTCTGGCTGGAGCTCTTCTGACCCCGCACCGTTGCTTTCTCCGCCTCCAGACAAACGCGCACTTCTTCCAAGCACACGGGGGAGGAGGAATAACAGCCAGGCACTGCACCAGCGCTGTGAGAGGGAAGATCAGGTTCAGATTATACACTGATGGTGAGAGGAATTTTGGCAGTCGATGAAGTACTAGGGTGTGTATCAGCAAGTACTAGGGTGTGTATCGGCAAGAATCACAATATGGGGCAACAATACAATAAAGTGCGATATATTGCGGTACTATGGGAACAACAATATATTAAGTTCTTTTAAACAATTTAATTCTAGGAAAACTGTTTTATGCTTAATCGCATAGTAATTAATGTAGAGGGATCTGAATTTGTAATAACTTGGGAAGAAAAATATCTGCAGTCCCTGTCCAATTAACTATTGGTTTAAATGTAACAAAAATAAATCAACGCCATGAATATTTTCAAGTTAAATGTTAATAAAATAAATGATACAGTAATATAGAATATCCATATGGTATCATAGAACAAATCACTGTGATATTTCAGTGTATCAATATTTTCTCACTCCTTGAGAATGTACACACCAATTTATCACTGCAGTGCAGTGGAATCAATTGAACTGAAGACGTGTCTTAAACGATCTCAAAATTACAACTGACATGTATAGGACATAGCTACACTGAAGAGTTGTCAGTGAGGTCATACTTTGTAGTTTGACTCTTAACAGAAGAATCGTCTCTGTAACTTGAGACAGTGGAGGAAACACAGCTGTCATCTGGAGAAAAAAAACAGAAAAAAACGTCACTTACATCCACATGTTAAAAGAAACTAAAATTAAACAGAGAAATTAAGAGTTGAAGAACCAAAATGGCACAGCTGCCAAAAAGATAGAACAGGGACAAAAATGTGTTTCTGAGAAGAACAGAAAATGAGACAAATCTAATAAAAAAAACAACAACCTGAAGTGTGACTGCTCAGTGAGTCCGTATCTCCTGGTACAGAGTTTTCATGCAGCTCTAATGAATGTCCAGAGAGTTTTTGGAGGAGGTTGTGGAGCTCCATCTCATCACAGAGAGCTGACCTCTTGTTGACCTTCCAGCAGGAACCTGACTCAGACTTCAGCCGACTGTCTGGTTGAGATAGGGAGTCGTTGTTCCCATCAGACTCACAACTGGTGCTTTCTAAAAGATCCTTCCTTAAATAGACATTTAAAAACGATACTGTATGATATTTCAAAAAATTGTATAAATATACAACAATGTGGTAAAAATTTCTACCGTTGAGAGACCGCTTTGACATCCAAAAGTGGGCATGACCCAGATCCAGAGCCAGGGCTACTGCCAGCTGACCTCCTACCAAGGTGGAGCTTGTGTCTGGGGCTTCTCCTCTGGGAGGAGGACTGCAGATACAAGCAGAAGAAGCATGAGTAAGTATTACTACTATAGACACATTTTGTAATTAAATTTGGAGGCAGAGAAAAGTAACACATGGAACAAGTAGCCCCAGAAATGGACAATTTCATGTTGCCCTTTGCCGAAATCTTACCTTCTACTTTTCATCAAACTAACATCAATGACATTTATTGAATGATTCAAGGAGTTATATAATCATATGAAATTTGTTACCCTATCCCAAGTTAGACAATAGAACAATAAAAAAAAACAAAAGTGAAAACGAGACACAGTGAAACGACGATTATCATCCGATATTTGGAGTGGATTTATGGAAACATGGCTGAATAATTACCTCACTTGTCAGGCTCTCGGTGAGCTCCACTCCCAGTGGACAGTAGTGAGCATCATCTATTGTACACAGCTCCTCTGTTTCAGTCAGTGAGTATTGTGGTGGCGGAGCCCCCTCCTTCTCTGATGTATTCTGGGTATTGTTGTTCTGAGTAGGTAAAGTGCGGACCAGTGCCAAGCTGTGATAGGCGCCACAGGCCACCTGAAGAAATTAAACCGTGGTAGCATTTTTTGTTTTCACTGATAATGCCACTGATAATAGAAATAAAACACTACCTGAATGACATGTCTGCCAGCCAAGTGCTCCACCTACAGCAAAGATGGAAAATTCAACCTGATTTCTTGACTCTTCTCACATTTCTCTATCAACTCGTTTACTGACCTTCTGTGGTTTCCACACAGGGAAACTGTTCGTGACCAGTCCGAGTTGACACCCGCTGCCCCAGGCCCACACTTCATTCTGTGTTGACAAGGCCAGACTGTGCTCCCGTCCACAGGCCAGATTCACAACACGAACCACTGCTGGTGGAACAACCTCGTTGTCCACAACACTGACTAAACACGGCTCTGGAACTAACAAAAAAAAAACCCAAATCATTTATCTTAGCTTGAAAAAGTAAAAACACCTGTACAAGACACACAAAGACATTAGCTTTTTTAAATGGCCTGAAAGCCTTTAACCAACCTGTGACATTTGTAACAGAGCCCTGCTCTGACAGCCCACACTGTCCTGCAGTGTTCTCCCCCCACATGTACACGTAGCCCTGCTCACACAGCGCTCCACAGTGGAAGCCCCCGGCAGCCACACGCACCATGGTCTTCCCCACTAGGGTCTTTTCTAGCAATGGAGCAGAGACTGGGACACTCACGTCCCGCCACAACAGCTCTCCAAAGGAATAAACATGACCACCTAGTGGACGACAATGATAACAGCACAAATCAATACTGCAGGTGGAAAATGGAAAATGTGAGCACATAACCTTTTACAAAAAATATCATATATTCCTGCTCGTAACAGTTTCTGACAGCAGTTTTATAGTTCACATCTTCATTTAAAAATATTGAAGGTTTTGTTGGATATCAAATAGTTTATTTGAATACACTTTTTCACAGAAATTACACAACTTGCCCAGTGTTAGTAGCAGTCCATGATGTTCTCCAAGGGACACCTGCAGAACAGGTATGGGAAGCAGCACTTTTTCTGGACACAGCTGCTGACCACCAGAACCCACAGACTGCCAGATATGGACCAGTCCTCTCTCTGGATGTGCTGATGTCTCTGGGCTAAAGTCATTGGAAAATAATATTGTTGTAGTAGTAGTAGTAATAATAATAATAATAATAAAATACAATAAAGAGGATAAACCTTAAAAACAATAGTTTGTTTGTGTGTGTGTGTGTATACCTTTCATTTTCGTTTGTGTTTTGCATCATTTCAGTTTCTTCACTGCACCAGACAGTGAAGGCCAGGTTTGGAGCATTTTTTTCAAAGTTCTGGTCCTTCTTTTTACTCCATATGATATTTTAGTTTAAAGGGAAAAAGGTGAATCTTCCGACATTAATATGATGCTGTTCTTTCGGTGCTTCTTCATCCATGTGGTTTCCTGGAAAAAACGTAAATTGCACGTGGTTATCGCAGTATTTCAGACGGTTAATGATTGAAATATGTTTGGCGCGGTCTATTAAAAAAACTATGCAAGTATCAGGCAAAATTATGCATATTTTCTAAACAAAACATTGGGCGTAGAAATACCGTGTTTTTAAACATCTTTCTATAGAAATTGCTGTAATTCCGAATATCAAATTGCCAGTAAATAAATAAGATACAATGTTACAGTAGCAGGGTAGATATATAATAAAACACAGAGTTAAAATGTTAAACACCCAATGTATGATTCTTTTTAAAAACACCTAAACCTCAGTTACTGTCGTTCATCACGTCAACTAATCCCGTGTGGACTGGAGCGACTGACCGTCCAGCCAACATGGAAATTGGGCCCATATTTTTCCACAGTAAACATTAATAATAAACTCTAAACTTTAAATGCAGAAATGCATGCGATTAAAGCAAACAGCGGAATACTATTGTGTCGTTACCGCTGTCAGGTTTTAAATTGTGAAGTCTGTGAGCTCGGCGCTGTCGCTGCTAAAGAAGCTAACTGCAAAGAACTTACCAACTGTCTGGTGGGAGACTAAAATTGAGGCTTTAGGCAGAACAAATGTGTGTGTAAAAGTCACAGCAAAAACCACCAACAGCAATCAGACATTGTTTACACTTCCAATCCGTGCAGCGCAGTCAGAGTAGAAGTTGAATCTGTGGTATTTCTGTGTTGTTTCCGAAGGTAAGTTCTGCAACGACGGCAGCCCGACAGGGACAAAACAGTGGCCGTGCCCCACCTGTTGCAGTAGCCGTCGCGCTTTGTCAAAGAGCAGAAAAAAAAGAAGAAGAAGAAGAAGAAGAAGACGCATCACTCTGTGCATGTATTGATTTGTCCGTTTGAGAAATACTTTCTCCACAATTTCATAAACTTCATTGTTTTTTGATACAACACCAGTTTTAAGAAATAAAAGCCTAAATCTATATTTTGTTATTTTTAGGTACGTGTTTTGTTCTCAGAGTTTTCCCATAGTTGCTAATGTGCTATGTCCCCACACCCTGTTCCCCGGGCCCACCGTTCACCTTGGTGATGGGTTAAAAACAAAGATGTGTGTGCTGTGTCACAATGACCCTAACCCTTTCACAATACTATCTGGCATGCTAAATACAGCATTTAACGTTTCATTACTCTGACATTTTAACTATGTATTAAGTGATTATTCATGTTGTTATTTATTCATTTATTTAGATACTAACCCATAATTTTGAGACACAAATAGCCCTTTTTTATACAAACGTCTCAAACAGATACTCTAGAACAGCCTGCTGGGGGCGCTAAAGATGGAACCATGTTACTAAATACTTATATCAAAAATAATGCCACAATTGCTTACCCTACGTTTATACGTTTACTTATCATACTATGCTGTTCAACCACATGCTAAGAAAATTATATTATAAAAATCATAAATACAGACAAAACACTTTTACTAATGGAACCATTTCATATCACTCCTTTCCTTTGAAAACTTTTACTCAATTTCAATCAATCAATCAAATTTTATTTATATAGCCCACATTCACAAAATACAGTTTGTCACATGGGGCTTCACAGGGTTGGTAACATCCTCTGTCCTTAGACCGTCAGCCAGGGTAAGGAAAAACTACCGAAAGAGAAACCCTTTCAACAGGGAGAAAAGAGAAAGGTAGAAACCTTAGGGAGAACCACAGGTGACGGATCCACTCCCTGGACGGACAGACGTGCAATAGATGTTATCAGAACATACATTGTACAAATACATAAAAACCAATGAAGAAAAAAAAGTCACAGTAGTGGTAGTGGCAGTAGTCCTGTGCTCCTCCTGTTCACCGGTGGCAGCAGAACTGTAAAAGAGTGGGACCAGTTTCCTAAGTGTATACATGGTGGTCGGTATGAATATAGGACAGGACAGAAGAATAAAGTAAGACTGTAGAGTCTGTGTCCTCATTATAAGTGCAAGATGAAGTGAAATGAAATGAAATGCAATGCCCCCCAGCAGTCTAGGCCTATAGCAGCATCTTTTTAGACTGTTCTAGTCGGGGCATGTTTAATCTAATTTAGGCTATAGGCTATACTATACAATTTATGAGTATTGACATTTCTATTGCGATATTTAAATAATATTTTCAATCCCATTTATTTCTGACAATTATAGTGACATTCCATTAGGTGGATAGTCTTATATCTGTGTGTGTTTGCTAAGAATTAAATGTTTAACTAAATTAATTTATTACATCTTAAGTAATATGCTGCAGAAATACATACATACATTTACAAATAAAAAAAACTAAAAGTGACAATAATCAATCAATCAATACATTTACAGAGCTCATTTCATGCACAAATCAAACTAAATAAGTTTGACAATGGTTCAAACAGCTAAATAGTAATAAAAATGTAGACCCTTGTAGATGATCTGTGGTTTTGAACATGGCACCAAGGTTCTAAAACTGATGTCAAAATAACTGTGTTAAAGTCCTATTTCTTCTTGTTCTCTCTTTTCCTTTCCCTGTTCCCTGTTCGTGATCAGCTCTTGTTTGGCGTTTTAGAGGTTTCTGTATAAAAGTGTCCAGCAGATTCTGGCTCCAGCTTTTACTGCCTGTAGTAAAACAGGAAAATAAAGAGAAAAGGGGAAATGGGCAGGGAATGCAGAGAGAATAAGAGTTTTTCTTTTTCTTTTTTTTCTTTTTTTTTTTTTTTTTGGAACATGAGACATTAAAGGATCAAAGCTGCTGGGCCATCTAATCTAATGTTCAGTCCAGTTTCAGATCCTGTGGACCATATTATAGGTACACATGATGACATGGTCATGGTTGAACAGAAATACAAGGAATTTAATGTACATTTAAGGATGTAATGTCCTTTTTTGTCAAACAAAGCCTTTTTAGTAAAGAACTTGTACTTCAAATACACGTCATGTGGTCATCTACTGAGTTCCAGTTCCTACGACAGAAAACATTAAAAAAAAAGTTAACCTACAATTACTCATGCAACCTCATCTGGTAATAAACTGAAGTATCGGTGTAATACACAACGCATGTCATTTAGATATTGAATAAAATACAGCAAAGACTGTTGTCTTGTTCATCAGTTGTTGTTTGTGTATATTTTAGTGTATATTTAAATTCCTGTCACTTGTGGTCAGTCGACCATTTCTTTGCATTTTTACTACATTCACATGTTGTCTGATGCCAAAAGAAGGAAAAAGTAACTTTGTCTGGAGGAGAACAAGAACAAGAACAAGAACAAAAACAAGAACAAGAACAAAAACAAGAACAAGAACAAAAACAAGAACAAGAACAAAAACAAGAACAAGAACAAAAACAAGAACAAGAACAAGAACAAGAATAAGGGAGGGGTTTCATTTGAACTATCTGGCAGGGAAAGAATGGTGTGTGTGTGTGTGTGTGTGTGTGTGTCTGTGCATTAAAGCAGTGTATTTAAAGAACATTGAAAACACATGTCAAGAGTTCGATAAAAAAAATATTTCAGGCACTAGGTAATTTGGCATTATTTTCACAAGCCTAAAGTCTAAATGCAGTCTAAATGCATAAAGAACAGAAATTCAACTCACCTCAGTTTGTTCTTTTTTTTTTTTTTTTTTTGGACTGAGGACAAGGGAACTAATTTGGTGATCAATTTTCTAAAAGAACTCAACCAGTGAGTGACAGGGACGGACTTCTAAGGAAGAAAAGTTCCTCGATGCCATTTCCTTCCTTTAGGGGTCGCCACTCGTAATGTTTAACCTGGGTTGGTCTTAAGGAATGGATGTTCTTGCTTTTCTGTGAACCATTCAAAAACAATAGCAGAGAACAAACAATCTATGATCACGTAAAGATGTTTATCACATTTTACGTAAGTGTATTTTCTTTAACGAACGAAACCAAAAACAGAAAAGCCAGCTTTCAGTTAAAATACCTAATTTAGTAAACCAGTAAACTGGTGTCAAATGAGGAAGAGTTAATGATTACATTCAGAACATCTATTTTTATTCAACTTTTAGCATTAGCATCAGCTAGATGTTTGTTGATATTTTAACTTTTTTTCACAGATTATGCTTTAGACTAAAAGTGATCTTATCTGTAACACTACACTCCACTACATTTGAATTGTCAGGAATATAACAGCAGAAAATCACGTGTTCAGTTGCCTGACCTACATGGTAAAACACATGGGAGTTAGATTGTGTTGTGTTGTGTCTGTATCATTTACTAAAGGCAGTTGCAGATATTTTAGTCTCATATAAAAAAACAAAAACAAATAAAGTGGTGAGAAAAAAAAGGGTGAGAACTTGTTAAATGTCTTGTTTCCAAAGCCGTATTAGACAAATGAGGTTTAAAATAGATGGTACAATTTGTCCTCTTTTAGATAAGAACTTAAAAAAAAACACTGTCTCTCTATCTCCCTCTGCAGTCACTAGGCAGATCTGCATTTACGTCCATAAAGGTGTAGGAAGAAGATAAATGTAAGGGGTTGTGTATTTTTTTGTTAATTGTTAAGAAGAATGTATTTAACTCTACAGAGACTGTAGTCTTTTTTGTTTAATTTAAGCCAATTTAAGCCATGGCTAATACCATGAAAATCGAGGCCAGTGGAAACCCTGTTGTATAATGTTTGACCTCAAATAAATAATCTATGATTAATTTGGAGCAACTTACACTAATACCCATCCCCCCTGTTGAGACGTGGTTTAATACATAATTGATTTGACATTGTTCGACTCATTGACACCAAAACTCCCCGTTGGTGTTTTGAAATGTATCCACTCTGGAGAATGTGTTTGAAAAGCAGCGGTTGTTGGTGTGAAAAACGTTGGCTTAATGTGGACATGACACAGTCATAAAAACAGAGAGCAGCGACCATCTGGCTCAGGTCAGGCTCCAACAGAGAGCCATGATCACAGTGAAGTGTGTGTGTGTGTGGTGAAAGGTGATGACCACAGCTGTGTGTTTGACCTGAAACCCCACAGACCCCCTCCTCTTAATCCTCTTCCTTCTCTACTTTTCCTTCCTTCTTAGTCTTCATCTCCTGTTCTTTTTATTGTCTTTCCAGTTGTTCTGTGTTGTTTTTAGACTTCAGCTCCATTTTTGACAAAAAAAAATGGCAAAGTTTTCAAAACAAGACAAGTTTTGGAAAAACAAACCATGCAAGAAAAAGGGGATTGTGTGAAGCAGAGCGGGGGCAGCTATTGTGGCCTCACCTCCTCCACTATTTTGCATCAATTAGCACATGACTTCCAAGACCCTGTGTTTATGCATCTGTGTGTGTGTGTTTGAGGGAGAGAGGGAGAGAGAGGGAGAGAGAGGCATGGGGGAAGGGAACTTAAAAGACTATTGTGTTTTGTCAAGAAAATGGCAGAGATCAGAGATTTACTGCATTACTTAACTTAGCCTTTTAGAGCTAATCAATCAATCAATTAATCAGCATTAACATTATTAGCTATGGTCGTTTGCTAACTGATAACATTAGTTTTCACGAGAGTCTATTGGCCAGTCTTTCCTAGACTGTTCAGGAAAAGTATGTCATACGTGACCCTGGATGAGGTTCACAGGTTATCAACTATGATTTAATTTAGTTGTTTATTTTTGATTAAATATTCAGTTTCTCCTTTCATCATATTCAACTAAACTTTAGGTCAACAATTTGTAAAAGTGTGAGATTTAAGTAAATTGGTTATTTCTGTAGATAAATGAATGAATCATCTGCGTAACAGAATTTATTTTATGATTTCTTCTTCCAGTCTAAATTCCTTTTATATTTTTGCTTTGGCCAATGAGACAGCTTAGTTGT